AGATGGGAAATAGGGAGTAGGAAATAGGGCGTAGGGAATAGGGAGTAGGTGATAGGAGATAGAGAATAGGGGATATGGAATAGGGAGTAGTGAATAGGGCGTAGGGAATAGGGAGTAGGTGATAGCATTTCCTGAAAAGAAAGGACGAATTACAGTGCAGCGTATGATGCGCTTTTCACAACGAGCCAATCACATTGCTTATAGCCAAGTTAGAAAATTAATGAGTGTATACTGCATATTAATGAGTGTATACTGCATATTAATGAGTGTATGACGCATGTTTATCTGTACACTGTGTACAGTGAATACCAATGAGTGTGTACTGAATATTAATGAGCTCATACTGTAAATTAATGCTTATACACTATATTAATGAGTGTATTAGTGTACATTGTACATTATCATACATTACTGAGCACGTACGGTATATTAGTGTGCATACTGTATATTAATGAGTATAATTGAGTGCATTGTATATTAGTGTATATTAATGAGCTCATACTATATATTAATGACTATACTGTATGTTTATGAGAATATTAGAGTGCATTGTACATTAGTGTATATTAATGAGTGTAGACAGAATATTAATGAGTGTATTAATGTACACTGAATATGAAACGTGTTGCGGCCATCAAATTTAAAATGACCTTTTTTATGGTAAATTTCATCAGTTTAAACATTTGATATGTTTTCTATGTTCTATTGTGAATAAGATACGGGTTTATGAGATTTGCAAATCATTGCATTCTGTGTTTAATTTACATTTTACACAGCGTCCCAACTTTTTTGGAATTGAGGTTGTATTAATGAGTGTATATTGAATATTAACGAGTGTATACTCAATATTAATGAGTGTTTACAGTGTTTATAGATTAGCACATACAGTAAATATACTGGTGTAGATTTGTCTGCACTGAATATTAATCAGCATTTACTGAACATCACGGAATGTTTAGAGATTCCTGAAATGTCTGGCCAATCACAACGGAGCATAGTGACCCACTTTACAGACTGAACCAAACACTTTACACTGACACATGAGCTGACCTCAGCCAGGTTAGTCAGGTTCCCCGAGTGAAACATCTGAAGAACCCTTAAGCTTGCCGAATATTTCAAGACTGCATGTGTACAAAAACACAAATACAGCATCAAACAGAAATCTGCAGGTTCTAAATGTGTTACTACAACAGTGCATTTAACAAACATACGATTCAAGATGTTCTAGTTTAGACGTGAATGTTCTTAGAGGAAAACTGGGGCAGTAAACAGGCAGGCCAAACTGTAGAGTGGAGTGTAACAGAGGAGTCGACGAGATAAAGAGTCTGAGACAGACAGAGAGGAGGAGAACTTCACGATCCAGCAGGGAGGATCTGCTCACATCAGTGACACGTTCATGTGGAAATCTCATCAACTCTACGTCCTCCTCATGCCAGATCCATGGACAGATCCATGGAGATCCATGGAGATCAAGAAAGATCTCATTTACTCGCTCCATCCAAACATCATTCATCTTGATTAGAACCAAACACGTTGCTAAGGATGACGTTCTTCTTTAAGTTGGAGCAGAAGATCACCGATGTGTACGTACAGTCAATCTGATGTCTATAAACTAATGAGAACATGAGGAAATGCAGGTTATGAAAGCAGATGTACTTCACACCTCCGAGGTTGCCAGATCGTTCTTGAGTAAAAGTGTCCGAGACCACTTGCGTTTACTGTAAAGCCAAAAATATCAGAGAAAGAAAATGTGGACAGAACAGGAAATGTTCATTTCTTCGCTGTCAGATATAATACGATGCCAGAAGACAATTTAAAAGTAAAATAAAAAGACTAATATGATGATGTATGAATGAGAAGATGACAAGAGCTGTAACGATCCCATAAATTACTGGTTTAATTGAGCAAAATGGCTCCACACTCATTACTCAGCAGCACATACAGTAGAATAGCACTTGATCCAGCACACAATGTTACTTCATTTTATTTTGTTATTAAATAACTCAGACAGATGAACATGTGCACAACTTACTGAATCTGCTAAATCAGGGATTCTGAACATTTTACAGTTACAGACCCAAGGTATTTATTTAAATGTGTGATAATTTTTAACATAATTTCTGCATTGTACACCCATTTTTACTCAAATAAAATAAAATTCCAGTTGATATTATTTATAGGCATAATAACTGATAATGCTGGGTTGTGATTTCCACTACTGCAATAAAATTAGAAAAATCAGGGACCCATTTGTAAAGTTTCATGGACTTATTGAATCCAACTTTGAGATCTAAATACATTAAGCTTATGATGGATGGCCCATGTAGCTCCACCCCCTCAGGGGTTTGTTAGTTGCTCCGGGGTCACAGGTTGCTCCCGTTGTTGTCTCCGGAATGTATAATGGTCGGCTCCTTGAGGTCAGTATCATGAATATAAGAGAGAGCATCAGCTTTGTAGTTCTGCAGGAAACTTCCCTGGCAGCCTGGAGCATAAGGAAATAGAAGTAACTTTCTAAAGTCAGAAGGTCACGGTTCTGTGATCCACCCCGTAGCGTTTCCTATAAATGTAAATGTGCAGCTGTGGCGCAGTTGGTAGAGTGGGTTGTCCACTAATTGTAGGGTTGGCGGTTCGATTCCCGGCCCGGGTGACTCCACGTGCTGAAGCCTTGGGCAAGACACTGAACCCCAAGTTGCTCCCGATGGCAAGCTAGCACCTTGCATGGGAGCTCTGCTACGTTGGTGAATGAGAATGGGAATGAGACTTAGTGTAAATATAAGTGCACATTTACCATTTACCTCTTAAAAGTGCACTAGCTGTTGTACACATGCTTCTGAGTGGAGGGCAAACATGTCCACTGGATTGGAAGATCATGAAAAAAAATAAAAACACTACAAATACCATTACATTCATCAGCTAACCATTAAAACCATCCACTAGGCATAATGTGCCACCAACAATGTACCAGTAGAGACCCACAGGGACCATTACAGCTTCCATTAAAACCAATACAGTTCCCATTACAAACTCTATGAGGGTTTCTAGTGGGGTTTTTTCAGCAGGTTATAGCACCAGATCTTAATGTCAATGTCTAAATTCACTCTGGACACTGGAATGACATCATAATGAGGCTGGACTTCTCCAACTTTTGCGTTTGCTCACCTCCTCCCCTTTTTATAAAGTCATGTGGTAAATCCATTTTAAAACACTTTTTATTCCCTCAGGCTTTTGAGTCTTTTAAAGTCCCTTGTATCGATTGTTTTGTCCTTAATTGTTATTGTTTTATTAAAGTATTGATTTATTTCATTTTTGGAATTGTTTGATTTTATTGTTCAGCACTCTGCACAACACTTGTCTTTAAGTGTGCTGAGGAAATAAAGGCGACTTGACTCTTTTATGTCCTAACTCTGAGCTTTGGTAGGTGTCCAAATTCTAGTGTTCAGTTTGATGGGTTTGATGAGGCAGCCATGAAAATGTCTTGCTGTACTGATCCTCCAGATCCCTCAGCTCCTGACAATAAATATATATAACTTTCAGATAACTTGATCCAAAATATAAAGCAAATTAAATCAAATGAAAAGAAAGAAATATCAGGAAACCTGGAGTAGACTCTCTGAAGTAGATCTATGCATGAGTCAGATTCTAGTTGATTTATTGCCTGTTGCTGAAATACTGTTTTATTTTAATTACATTATTATGAAACATTTTATAATCATAATTTTATTGTTATAAAAAAATCTGAAAGCATTTGAGATTGTCACTCCTGATTGGAATCCTGACGCTCTACACCTCTACACCTCAGCAGGTCAGTGAAGTGACCGAAGCCGCTTCAGATAAGTGAACTCTGAGTTTAGAAGTACTTTGCTGCCACCTTGTGGAGTTTTATTATGAACAAACTTTTATAAAATAACTCCAATCATCCATTCATCCAGCCATTTTCTGTACCGTTTATCCTTCACAAGGTTACAGGGAGCCTGGAGCCTATCCCAGGAAAGGCAGATCATAGAAGAAAAGATGTTAACTGAGGTACTGTGGGGCGAGACTGTTTAGTGCTTTATAGGTCAATAGTAGTATTTTATAATTGCACAGCTTTGGTTTTCCGAGCACGCTGCATGCTACAGTGCTTAGCTCGAGCGGAAATCGTGACAATGCCCCACTAAATCTAATGACAAACTGTTCAGAAATTATCAGCAAAAAGGTGCTTACAGTATATAATAATAATAATAATAATAATAATAATAATAATAATAATAATAATAATAATATGAAGAAGAAGAAGAAGAAGAGTACTAACCATATCAATAGGTTTCCTCCTGAGGCCTGTACCATGAAGATAGTTGAACAACCTCAGGGTTACAGTGTTAGTTTTGAGTTGACAAAATCAAACCAATCCAATCAGGCTTTATTGATACCATGATGCTGGATATCAACATACTCTGATAACTCAGGTTTTGATCCTTAAACTTTGATTATTCTACGAGCACGTGCACATAAACACGTGATGTCGGCACAGAACAGACAATGTTACTTCCAGTTGAAAAACAAGAAATTATTTTGTGAAAATAAGAGGAATTTAAACCTACACTAACTGGAAATAGCAACACTGCTGCAGCTGTCCAAGATTAGGAACATTGCTCACGGCTGATTAGTGCCAAGTTGGGTTCGAGTTTTCTTACCCAGAACATTACCTGACCCAGAGCAGGTTAGCCATGGAGCGAAAGTTACTATGGTGATGGACACCAGTAAAAGTCGAGCTACTTTCATGGTACCTAAAACACAGGGTTGGCACAAACTAAACTGAAATTTACCTGATTAGCCACCTAAACCAACTTCCTGTTACAGGCCCCTGATGTAGGAATCCTAATAATCCTTACGATAACAATAGAGCCCTGTACACTTTCTGCCTGAATAATAATAATAATAATAATAATAATAATAATAATAATAATAATAATAATAATAATAATAATAATCATTATCATCATCATCATCATCACCCTAGGTGCACAGTGGTGTAGTGGTTAGCACGTTTGCCTCACGGGTCTGGGTCTGGGGTTCAAGTCCGGCCGGTGCCATGTGTGTTGCATGTTCTCCCCATGCTGCTCCCCCAGTACAAAGACATGCATGGTTGGTTGATTAAATAATATCTAACAGGAAGTGAAATGGTAAGAATTATTGAGTCAAATTTTTCTAATATTCCTTAAAATTATTATTAAATAAATGTTAAACTTCAGTTAAACAAAAAGTCTATAAATTATTTAAATCATGTTATAATGTTGTAATAAAGTAATGATAAATCTTAAATGTGTGTGTGTGTGTGTGTGTATCTGATGTAGTTGCAGTGTGCTGCAGTGGTTTATCAGTGTGTGTATCTGCTCTGTGCAGCTGTAAAACATTAATGCTGTACAACAGCCGAGTGCTTCCTCTCTCTGAAATCAGTGTGTGATGTGGTCGACTCTCAGTCACACACCTCAGAGACGGGAGGCGGAACTCTGTTCCTCAGTCACACACCTCAGAGATGGGAGGCGGAGCTCTGTTCCTCAGTCACACACCTCAGAGACGGGAGGCAGAGCTCTGTTCCTCAGTCACACACCTCGGAGACGGGAGGCGGAGCTCTGTTCATCAGCGCTGACGTTATTTTGATATATATGGAGAAAGTGAGAGATGCTTCATCTGATTTGTTGTTGAGGCTGTGTGATGATTTCCTCTCGTCTTTCTAATAAGGTAACAGTGTGTGTGATTGGTGGCTGTCTCTCTCTCTCTGTCTGTCTCTCTGTCTCTCTCTCTGTAGGGGGCTGAGTGAGGGGACACACTTCTCTCAGTCTCTCTGGGCGAGTGGAGGTGAACACATCGTGTACAGCGAGGAGGGAGATGGAAATCTGTCTGACTTTTATTCTTCTCTCATCCACACTCACACTCACAGCAGCTGGTAAGTACACACTGATTATTCACACTAAAACATCACACACTTCTCACTTTAACAGTAGCCACCATTTTTAATCCTGAAATGGGAGAAATTTTCCTGGAGTGATCGTAACTTTATAAATAGTGAAAGTCTTTCATTTTAATAGAATTTAAAAAGCTGTACATGAGCGTACACACATCATCCTCAGGGGTTTTTCTGAGGACTCAGTTATAAAATCAGGTCCCGATTAATGTTTACAGTTTACACAGGATTTATTGTGTGTGTGTGTGTGTGTGTGTGTGTGTGTGTGTGTGTGTGTGTGTGTGTGTCTTTGAGAGAGAGATGGTCCTCATAAATCATGACAGAAAATAAACTCTCTCTCTCACTCTCTCTCTCTCAGACAGTGTGAGGTTGGTGAATGGTGGAAGTCGCTGTGTTGGGAGAGTGGAGGTTCTTCATGATGGACAGTGGGGAACAGTGTGTCATAATAGCTGGGATATGAGAGAAGCTGCAGTGGTGTGTAGAGAGCTGCATTGTGGTGAAGCTGTATATGTGCGGTATGCTGCTCACTTTGGACGAGGATCAGGAACAATCTGGATGGAAGATGTGGCCTGTAGTGGATCAGAGATGACACTGAAGAACTGTAGCTCAGCAGAGTGGGGGAAAAATAACTGTGATCATAGTGGTGATGCTGGAGTCACCTGCTCAGGTAAGCTGCTTTTTCTCACAATATTTAAAATATGCTCTAGAAATTATCATGATTTACACAATGTATGTTAAAGTTCTATAAAATAAATGTTGAGTGTAATCGATTGAGCTGTCAGCGTCTGGTGTAAAGTCCACTTTGATTAACATGACAGTGTGCTGAACACGACAACGCTGCAGTCTGGTGTTAAAACTGCTTTAGAGGAACTCCAAACTATGTGAAGAATTATAATATTTTAATAATAATAATAATAATAATAATAATAATAATAATAATAGACTGTTAATTTTTTAAAAATAATTCCATAAATTCATGTCCATAGAAATACATTATAAATAAAGCTTGTGACCACATCCTTATCTCAGGTAACTCCATTTGGGGTCTCAACCCCAAGTTACCAGCTTATACATTAAATCATTCACACTTAGATTTTATTAGATTTAGATGAAACAACAGTGAACTCATTTACATTTACATTTCTGGCATTTGGCAGATGCCCTTGACTTACATTTATCTCATTTATATATCTGAGCAGTTGAGGGTTAAGGGCCTTGCTCAAGGGCCCAACAGTGGCAGCACTGGGATTTAAACTAACAATCCTCCGATCAGTAGTCCAACGTCTTAACCACTGCACTACCACTGCCCTCTGAACTGTGATTATTACAGTCTGGTCAGTTTATCCTTCAAACTGTGGGTTTTCTTTACAGGAGAACACACTAATTCAACATTACATTTACATTTATTCCTTTAGCAGAATAAATGTAAATGTAAATCGCTTTCCTCTTTCATCCAAAGCGACTTACAAATGAGGAAATATAAACAACGTGATACTTTAAGCAGAGAACAATACAAGTAGTGCTACCACACAAGATTTTTTACCTTGGAGGAGCAAAGTGCACAGCATTATATATATATTTATCCATCCATCCTCAACCGCTTATTCCTGCTTCAGGGTCGCGGGGATCCTGGAGCCTATCCCAGGAAGCATCGGGCACAAGGCGGGGTACACCCTGGACAGGGTGCCAGTCCATCGGTGGCACCCTGTCCAGTACACCCCGGACCCTGGAGGTGTGAGGCGAACGGGCTAAGCACTAAGCCACCGTGTGCCCTATATACAGTATATATATATATATATATATATATATATATATATATATATATATATATATATATATACCACATATATATATATATATATATATATATATATATATATATATATATATATATAGGTGGTAGTGGTAGTTAGTACTACCAGGCACTACCAGGCGTCGGTCGTTAACTGATTACAGGTTGCAGAATGGAACATAAACCTCGAGGATAGTTTTGACGTAGGAGTGTGCTGTTCCAGACAAGATCTTGTGCGTGAGCATCAAGGCCTTGAATTTGATCCTGGCGGCTACAGGAAGCCAGTGGAGGAAAATGAAAAGGGGTGTGACGTGGGTCCTTTTGGGCTGTTTTAAAACAAGGTTTGCTGCTGCATTCTGAATCATCTGAATTAACACTTTGCAGTTATTTAGACTATTTATGCAGCAACGTATTCTCAATATACTTCACTTCTATTAGATTTATTTTAATGTTCACCATCTTCTCATTCGTGTATCAACATATTAGTTTTAAAAGAGTAATTTTCAGTGGTCTAGACACTATTAAAAAACCTGGTCTCTTGTCCCAACGTTAGAGCCATGAATTACGTGCAGGTGATTTTAATAATATGAATGAAGAAATCATAAAACTGACTTAAGCATCTGCGGAACCCGACTCTGAATATGAGGAACTTTCCTGTTTGCATACTGATCTTATTTTTGGACTGAAGTCACTGACTCTGAATCTGAACCACTGTAATTGTTGTGACTCTTAAACACTATTTCTGTAACTTGAATGTTCATTATGACTTCACCACTTTAAATATCTGTGTTTTCATGTAGGGAATGAAGCTGAGAATTATGATGACACCCTTACAGCTGATCAGGAGACAGTTATACTGACAGGTATGTAATAATGTGACTGTTTTTAATCTCAATCATGAACACAGCATTAATTACATCAAAGTAGATTTACTGTCACTGATTCCATTCAGAACAGACGACTGTGATGCTGCTGTTACCACTAATACACTAATATTATATATACTCACACCATTCATCTGTATACATCTCTCTCTCTCTCTCTCTCTCTCTCTCTCTCTCTCTCTCTCTCTCTCTCTCTCTCAGACAGTGTGAGGTTGGTGAATGGTGGAAGTCGCTGTGCTGGGAGAGTGGAGGTTCTTCAGGAAGGACAGTGGGGAACAGTGTGTGGTTCTGCCTGGGATATGAAAGATGCTGCAGTGGTGTGCAGAGAGCTGCAATGTGGGGAAGCTGTAGATGTGCGGTATTGGGCTGAGTTTGGACAAGGTTCAGGACCAATCTGGATAAATGATGTGTACTGTAGAGGATCAGAGTCGACACTGAACAACTGTAGCTCACAAGGGGGACATTTCTGTGATCATGTTATTGATGCTGGAGTCATCTGCTCAGGTAAACTGTTCTATTTATGGGGGGTAATTATTAGCATGAATTATTTGATTAATTGTAATCGGTTTTATTTAAATTTAAAGTGTTTGTAACTACAGTGGAATGTTTCTTAATGGTAAAGGTTCTTAAAAATGTGCACAAGATTTACATAATTAATTAAAACACAGGTGAAAATTTGAGACTCTCTGCTGGTCCTCACCGGTGCTCTGGGAGAGTGGAGGTGTTTCATGGAGGTTCCTGGTCCACAGTGTGTGATGCTGACTTTGACCAGCAGGATGCAGAGGTTGTGTGTCGAGAGCTGGGCTGTGGGGTTCCTGTGGAGGTGCTGGGATGAGCTGCTTTTCAGTTGCTTTCCCCCCGGGGGGGGGGGCCGCTGGAGGTAGGTGTGACCGGAGCTTCAGTGTAGAGGAAATGAATCTGACATTATCTTCTGTCCAACATCATCTTCACTCAATCACTCAAACTGCTCCCATTACAACGATGTGGGATTAATATGTTCTGGTGAAGTATCATGATTTAACTTCTATTTAAATAGAGAACACATACCTGTGTGCATGTACAAGTGTGTAAGTGTGTGAGTCCTCATGTAAATGTTTATGTGTGTGTGTGTGTGTGTGTGAGTGTGTTCATAGTCTCATGGCAGAACACAGGTATATAGTAAACATTATTCAGTGGCAAGACAAAGTATGTGAACCTTTTGGAATTTCATGGTATTCTCAATAAATTTGTCATAAAATGTGATCTGATCTTAATCTATGTCAGGGGTATTGACAAATATAATGTGTCTAAAATAATAACACACAAAAAAATCTGATCTTTCATGTCTTTATTGAGAACAACCAAAAAAAATCTCATAGTGCTTGTGGAAAAAGTATGTGTACCCTTGAGTTAATGACCTCAAAAAGCTCATTGGTATCAGGTTTTATCACACCTGGAGTCTGGTTAAGAAAA